TACTGAGCCCACGTGCCACAACTACTGAAGCCCGCACACCTAGAGCCCGCGCTCCGCAACGAGAGAAGCCACCGCAATGAGAAGCCCACTCACCTCAACGAGGTAGCAGCAGCAGCCCCTGCTCGCCACAATTAAAGAAAAGCCCACGCGCAGCAACAAAGACCCAACGCAGCCCAAAATAAAACAAATTAATTAATTAATTAAAATAAAAAAAGAAAACCTGTCAGATTGGATCACAAAGCAAAATCCAATCACTTCTAAGATGCAAACATTTTCACATTTTAGCATCTAGGATATTGAGACATGATTTATAACTGCCATCAGCCAGACTGTAGGTGGAGTGTCACTGCCATTATCCTATGACTCAGTCTCAAAACACAAAGTTATTGTACATGCACTCTGGGACCAAAACAGAGAAATGGAGCAGAAGCACACTTTTGATATTAGAGAAGTAAATAGTTGTCATTGAATGAATGATGAAATCAAGGGCTTTATAGGAAAAAGAAAGGAAGCTCCCCAAATAGATAACACTGTGCCAGCTTCTGCTACTCAAATATGGTCAAAAGGACTGCCTATCACACACCAAGTGAAGCCAACTGAAGGCAGCACAAGCTGCAAAATCACCAGGAAGAGATGAAAGTTCAAAGCGAGGGGCTAGTGTGGCAATTCACTCACTACATAGGACTATCTTAAGGCACTAAGTTTAATTATTGTTAAATGGAGGAAAAAAAGAACAATGTTAAATGAACCTCCACTGATGTATTTTGTGCCTGGTCAAAACTGTCCTTCAGAAAGTTTCCATTGTTAGTTTATTAACCTTCTCTTGACAAAAGATCAACTGAGATCTTGTGCATATTTCTATTCAAACTTATATCATTATCATTCAACTGTATGGCTTTAAACCTAACATTCAGACACAAGGGGTTTTTCTTAAGTTTGGTAGGAAGAACTTGAGACTCTCAGGAACGAAGGATTACTCAGTGCTCCTTCCTCATTTGTACTTACAACACATACCCAGGGGGGAGAAGAAATTCATTCTGCTGCATGGCTCAGCATGACTCACAAATTGCAGGCTAGCATTTTGAAATGTCATTTTTATTGATCTCCATTTGATGTTCCATTTGACTTTCCGGGAGTAGACAAATTATGTTTATGGCATTTCCCTAATAGCAGACCTTGAAAATCTGAGTTTAAATGAGCTCTGAAAAAAACATAACCGAATGAAATATCAACTAAACAAAACTATCGGGATGCACATAAATTAATGCTGATTTTAGCATTAAAATATATCTTCCCTAAGACTTCAGCGGTCACGATAAAGATGTCAACATACTACATAACAGAACAGCACATTTCAGGGCATAACAGGCAGCTAAAAACTATAAGGAAAGTCAAGTCTCAGACACAAAATGTAAATCTGTCAACTGAACACATATGAAATATAAAGCATGGTTGAAATTAGAAAAATGAATATCAAATCCTATTCTGTAGAACCTAGAAGTCTGTGCAGCACTGCCAGTTCCATAATAAAAATCAAGTAAGAAAGGTCAATTTATCTCAATAGCTACCATTATTCCTTTCTAATAATTTCAAAACTAAATCAGTCAATGAAAAGCTATTGCTATGTCACAGTAACAGATAAAAAGTTTGCTTTATAGAATAGGTATAATGTTTTAATGCATTTTAACACTTTCAAATATAGTAGTTATTTAATAAGATAACATAAATGAGTTGTATAAAGTTAAATTAGAAAATAATTATAATCTCAAGTAACAGTACGTCATCCTTACATCCATTTACACACAAGAATAATCTGCCAGTCTCAAGCCGAAGACACACTAAGAGAGTAATTAATAACATACAAGAGGTAATTTAGTAAGCCTTTGGTTTTAAAAAAGCAAAATTTTTAATTTTGAGAAATGACTGATTTCAAACTTTTCACTCTTGTCGAAAGCATGTAAGAAAGCATAAGAGCATCAATTTAGCTCCAGACTAAAATCTTATTACGCAAGGAAAGAAGATCATCTAAATTTTCTTACAGAGGGTAACTGCATCACCAATATCCTTATGTAATAATATGAAGTACATGCTTATCAGCTAAAAGTGATACGGCAGAGTACAAAACTATGTCCACATTATGACCACAATCTTGTACAACCAACCTTTGCATAAGAAAAAAGGCCAGAAGGAAGACTACAAAATGACCAAGGTGATGGGTTGAAAGGGAGAAACCAATAGTGGTATTTTTCTACTTTCTGCATCTTCGATATTCTATCTCATTATAATAATCTCATAATAATATATCTCTATATAACTCTTTGTTTTATATCCTTATATCTCCTTAAAGTAAATCACTACACATCACATATTAATTACTATCTGCTTATATGCTTAAAAATACTGTTTTAGAATCTGGGAGACATAAGTTTGAGTCACTGCTCATTCATTCTAACAGTATGAAGTTGATGAAGTTACTTAACTTCTCCAAGCCCTCAGTTTTCTCATCTAAGTAAACCACCTTGGCAGGATTTAAACAATATATCACGGAAAACACCTCGCATAGTGCCTAGCTCAGTGGTGCTCAGTTTACATTAATTCCTTTTTCAACATTTTTTGTTGTTGATTTAATTCCCATAAATTAAGTAGACTTAATCACTGATTAAGTACTGCAGTTAAGGGGCAATCAAGTTATCTCAAGAAAAGCCTCCCCTATCAAAGGACTTTAAAAGCTACTAAGAAGCTCAAAAAGACATTTTTAACAGATCCCAGTATTCCTTTACACTTAGCCTAAATATGACCTCAGAATCCTTCTAAACACAGCAGCCCAGGTAACCAGCAGGAGTTATTATGAGAGTGAAAACCTATTTGTCATCAGCAACCCAGACAGAGGCTTCTTAAGAAGTCTCTCCCAGCACACAAAACACAACGCCTATAACAAAGGAGAGGGATGAATTCTTTTCACAAGTTTGCCAAAAAATTAAATCTATGACTCAATTCCAGTTCACCCAATAAAACACTTTAAAAATGCAGATTTTTAGGGACTTCCCTGGCAATCCAGTGGTTAAGACTTCGCCTTCCAATGCAGGGGGTGCAGGTTCAATCCCTGGTCAGGGAGCTAAGATCCCACATGCCTCACAGACAAAAAACCAAAACATAAAACAGAAGCAATATTGTAACAAATTCAATAAAGACTTTAAAAATGGTCCATATCTGGGCTTCCCTGGTGGCGCAGTGGTTGAGAGTCCACCTGCCGATGCAGGGGACACGGGTTCGTGCCCCGGTCCGGGGAGATCCCACATGCTGCGGAGCGGCTGGGCCCGTGAGCCACGGCCGCTGAGCCTGCGCGTCCGGAGCCTGTGCTCCGCAATGGGAGACGCCACAACAGTGAGAGGCCCGCGTACCGCAAAAAAATAAATAAATAAAATAAATAAATAAATAATTTTTTTAAATGAAGATTTTTAAAAACAGATGTTTACAGCTTTTAAAAGTTTTTTTTGTTTGTTTGGTTTAGTATTTCAAAAAGGAAGATTACAGTAAATCTTCATGAGATTGGATTTGGCAATGGATTCTTAGCTATGATACCAAAAGCACAAGCAACAACAACAAAAAAATTGAAAGCTGGACTTCATCAAAGTTAAAAACTGTTGTGTATCAAAGGACATCACTGAGAAAGTGAAAAGATAATCTACAGAATGAGAGAAAATATTTTCAAATCATCTGATAAGAGTGTAATATCTAGAACATATAAAGAACTCCTGCAGCTCAACTACAAAAAGACAAATGACCTTATTAAAAACGGACAAAGGACTTGAATAGACATTTCTCCAAGAAGATATACAAATGGCCAAAAAGCATATGAAAAGATGGTCAACATCATTAATAATGAGGGAAATGAAAATCAAAACTACAATGACATACCACTTCACAACTGCTAGGATGGCTATAATCAAAAAAAACAGAAGATAATATGTGTTGGCAAGGACATAGAAAAATTGGAACCCTCACACACTGCTGATGGGGATGTTAAATGGTGCAGCCACTGAAGAAAACAGGTTGGCAGTTCCTCAAAAAATGAAGCATAGTATTATCATATTATCCAGTAATTGCACTCCTAGGTATATATGCAAAAGAAATGAAAACAGGGGCTCAAACAGATATCTATACACCAACATGTGTTGAGTATTATTCACAAGAGCCAAAAGGTGGAAACATCTGAGTGTCCACTGATGGATGAATGGATAAACAAGATGTGGTACAGGGACTTCCCTGGTGGCACAGTAGTTAAGAAACTGCCTGCCAATGCAGGGGACAGAGGTTCAAACCCTGGTCCGGGAAGATACCACATGCTACAGAGCAACTAAGCCCATGTGCCACAACTACTGAGCCTGCGCTCTAGAGCCCGCAAGCCACAACTACTGAGCCCCCATGCCTAGAGCCTGTGCACCACAACTAGAGGAAGCCCACACGCAGCAACGAAGACCCAATGCAGCCAAAAAATAAATGAATAAATAAATAAATTTATAAAAATAAAAAGATGTGGTACATGGATACAAAGGAATATCATTCAGCCATAAAAAGGATGAAGTTCTGATACATGCTACAACATGGATGAGCCTTGAAAACACAACGCTAAGTGAAATAAGCCAGACACAAAAGGACAAATATTGATGATTCTGCTTATCTGAGGTACCCAGAATGGTCAAATCATAGAGACAAAAAGTAGATTAGAGGTTACCAGGGATGGGAGGAAGGTGGAATGGGGAGTTATTGCTTACTGGTGACAGAATTTGTTTGGGATGATGAAAAAGTTTGGAAACAGATAGTGGTGATAGTTGCACAACACTGTTAATGTAATTAATGTCACTGAATTGGCAAATGTTATCTTATATATATATTTTTTACCACAATAAAAAGAAATTAATTACTGAAAGTAAACTTAAAGGCACTGAGGGAAAAGAACAACAATAGGATAATAAATGAAAATGACACAGCATCAGTACCTTTCCACACACTGCGAACGGGATAAAGGAGGCTGACATCTTCGGTTATGAGCTTCTCGGGCAGCAAGTCTGGCTCCTGACAACTGAAACAGAGTACAAAATAAACTTAATAAACCATCAAACTTGCTACTATCCTAGAAAAACTGGTATCGCATTCTGCCATCAAGAGGCCAGAAATTCGAGCAACTCTAAGCTGTAAACAAGCATTCATTCCACGGGAAAACAAAACACATTAACCTGGGAAAATTCTAGAGCAGTTTGAAACAATAACCAACATATTAAAGCACTGAGGGATTAATTCACACAGAGTGATCTTAACGAGTCTACAGAAGAGTGGCATACAGACTGTTTTCCAACAAACCTAACAAAGCTGAAAGCTTTCTAGTCAAAACTTTCAGGGCTTCCCTGGTGGCGCAGCGGTTGAGAGCCCACCTGCCGATGCAGGGGACACAGGTTCGTGCCCCGGTCCGGGAAGATCCCGCATACCGCGGAGCAGCTGGGCCCGTGAGCCATGGCCACTGAGCCTGCGCGTCCGGAGCCTGTGCTCCGCCACGGGAGAGGCCACAACAGTGAGAGGCCCACATACCACAAAAAAAAAAACAAAAAAACAAAAAAAAAAACTTCCAGAAACTTTAACTGGAGCTGAGTCCAAGAGAATTCCAAGCTCATAACTATCTTTAAGTGCCTTCATCAGTCATCCAGTAGCGGAATAAGGGATGGTCAATGCAAATGCTTCCCAAAAAGTGTTTTTCTAAAGCACTTCCTGGAATGATAATAACCTGCACTCTTTAGGGAGAAATCTATATTGGAAAAAGCAATACTAACACCTCAGAAAGCCTTAAAGGGAACTCAGACTTTGAGACAGTAGTTTAAGACATCAGTAATCAGAGTAAGTTCAGAGTAAATATAAACTCTAGTCTCTCAAACCAAAAAACATGGTATCTTCATCTCAAGAGATTTATCTCATACATTCTCAATGAAATGTCACAGACATCAACAATTAAAATATATATATATATATATATCCAAAAAGTTGATATACCTTTTCATCTTCCCATTGAAAAAAATTACAATCTTTTCTATCTCTACAAGCTGAGCAGGCATAAAACCTCCGTGTTTCTTCTTTCCCTTGGTTCGCCTTTACAAACAGAAGAGTGGGTCCTAGTTCCAGAATAGGAAAAAATAAGTCAGTCATCTACCTCAAGTTCCTAGTTTTCATCGCCTTTAAATAAAATTTGTTTCAGTTTTATGCACAATTTGTTACAATTAAATGCACTACTCTGTTTAATAATTTTTTCCCCCCAAAGTCACAACATTCAGGCAAAGACTACTTAAGAAATAAATTTTGAAAACTGGTCTCTCCAGAAGGAAAATGCTATTGTCAGTACAGTTGCAGTCCACATGGTGAACGGCCTGGGTCCTGACACAACAACAAAGACGGAGTCCAAACAACTGAGCACTCTGCCACCTCCGCTCAGTTATCCTTTCAGTGAAAATCTGAGCTTTTAGAGCTGGACGCACTCTCTCTCCGCAAGAAAAACTGGGTCTAGTTAAGCAAGAATTCATTCTATCGTGCTCCCTAACGTTTTTTTTTTTTTTTTAATTTTAATGGAAAAAACAATAAAACCACAAATGAAATCTTCAAGTACTTGGCAACGGGAATTACTCAATAACACATATCCTTTTCGCCTAGCCTCTGCCTTGTCCCTTCAAAAAACATGTAACAGCCGTAAAGCCAAAACCACAACAGTGGGGTGTTTCTATGACGGTTTCTTAAGTAAGTGGACAACCACAACTTCCCGAGGAAGGAGCGTTTTCTAGATATGACACTCGGTGGGAGAGAGAGAGGGGGATCTGAATCCGAGAGCCCTAAAAGCCCACGGCACATTCAGGCTCACCCACGCCCCTTGGCTCCCGACAGCCTGCTTGAGCCCAGACGCGGACCCACCGTGAGGGCACAGCGGGGCGGGCGGGGCGGGATCGGAGGAAACCACCACCTCGACTCCCGAGTTCCCCTGGCGACCCGAGCTCCCCTCTGCCTCTACGGTTCCAAGCTGCTCCCTGGGGGCCGCCATCTTCCCGCCGCCGTCCCGAAAGCCTCAGTCCGAACCAAAGAGGCTGAGAAAGCGCGCCACCATGACCCGCCGTGACTCAGAGCGCCCCCTCTCGCCTAGGAGGAGCTTCGGCCAGTGGGGCAGAGGTCACGCCCCGAAACCCAACTTCTGCTGGAATGTCTGAGAAAGAAGCCGTAGGAGTTCCATGTTGTCATCTCAGTGATTTCTCATGAATCTGAGGGGTTCAGCTCTCTAATCTTACCTGAACTAAGTCATGTGTCTAGTGACCGGCTGATCTAGGTTCACCTTGGCAAGAGTAACTCAGCTCTGCTCCATGTATCTCTCATCCTCCTGCTGTAACTAGCCGGCCAGCCTGGGCACATTTCTTTCATGGGAATGACAGAAGCACAACAGAACTAGGAGAAACAGACAAGGTTCTTAAGGCCTAGGCTTGGAGCTGCCACTGTCACTTCTACCTCATTCTTTTGGCTCAAGCAAGTCATGTGGTCAAACATTGCAGAGTTACATGGCAAAGGGCATAGGTCAGAAAGGGGTGAAGAATTGGAGCCAATGACACAGTCTATCACAAAAGCACTCTTCACTGGGACAACCAAGTATCTGCTGGTACTGTTTCCCACCACTTAAGGAGCACCTGCCTCAGCAAGAAGACAGTAAGGAGAAAGCAAAACTAGGAGGTAGGAATGTGTGACGATACCATGTGAGCACCTAGATCCAACCATGCCTGAAGTTTCCAGTTACAAGAGTCACAAACTCCTCTGTCTGCTTAAGACAGTTTGAGATGAGATTGGTTCTATCTATCACAACCAAGAATGTCAACTAATGCTCTGTGGTCACAGCACAATATTGGATGGATATATCTGTTCATTAATATGCCTGGATTCCCTTTTCCAGTCAAGACCAGCTAACCCTGCTTTCCATTCTCCCTGCTACGATCCCTGTCAGTCTGCCTGCTGTGCTCCCCTCCATCCAATCTGTCCCTTCTGGCCCTTGTGGTGGAACCCAGTCTCCTCAGCTGCCTTTTGCCTTGCTGCCCAAAAATCAGCACACAGACCTACTTCCCTTTAAGGGGAAAACTGTCAGGGGAGACAAGAAAGGAATCCTACAAAAGACGTTACCATGTCAGTCTCTGCTCTCTTGTTCTGGATCCTGACTCCCCTGCTGAAAGGGTCACTTCTATGGACTGAATTGTGTCCCCCTCAAAGTTCATATGTTGAAGCCCTGCCCCACAATGTGATGGTATTACAGGTGGGATCTTTGGAAGATAATTAGGTTTAAATGAAGGCATGAAGGTAGGCCCCCAAAATGGGATTAGTGCCCTCATAAGAAGAGACACCAGAATGCACATGCCCTCCCTCTCCCTCTCCCTCCCTCTCTCTCTCTCTGTCTCTCTCTCTGTCTCTCTGTCTCTCTCTCTCTCTCTCTCTGCCATGTGAGGGCGGACACAGTAAGAAGGGGGCCATCCACAAGCAAGGAACAGTATCCTCACCAGGAACTGAATCTTCTGGCACCTTGATCTTGGACTTCTCAGCCTCCAGCACTGTGAGAAATAAATGTCTGATATTTAAGACACCCAGTCTACAGAATCCTGTCATAGCAGCCTGCACTGACTAAGACACTCATTATGCCCCTTGACTTCTGATCTCTGCTTTAAATTCTGAGAGCAGACCTCTCCCCACCTCTGAAAAGCCTTAACGGTAACAACTTGGGCGGGGAAGGACTTGGACACAGAGGGGCTTTGTGTAGCCTTCCACACATCTTTGAAAAACAGCAACAACCCTGC